GAGGCGGTGAAGTCACCATCCCTGGAAGTGTTCAAAAAAGGGGTAGACGTGGCACTTGAGGACATGGTTTAGTAGGCATGGTGGTGTCGGGTTGATGGTTGGACTGATGATCTTAGAGATCCTTTCCAATCTTAATGATTCCTAGTTTTCACTTTCATTAAAAAATAATGCAGCCCCCAAGCCAGGAAACATGAAATTGCTACTCTACCCTTAATTGGTTTAGTGGTGGACTTGGTAATGTTAGGTTAATGGTTGGACTGGATGATCTTAAAGGACTTTTCCAACCTAAACAATTCTATGATTCTTCCTCACTCATTGTGCTTCAGAAGCAGAGCATCAGATAGCTCTGATACAACACCTGGGAGAAGGGCATGGGAGGGCGAAGACAACTGACAAGTTTTAGGATGGTCTAGTAAAAGATACTGCCTAGAGTGGTTTTACCCTCTAAGTCAAATCATGAGCATTTTGACTGTAATAGTTTTTCAGTCCAGGTGGCATGGTACTCCCTTCCATAAAATCAGGTTGTGAATCAGAGATGCTTTTAAGTCACTTCCATTACCTGAGTAATTCATATATGACCTGTTACAAGTTCCTTTACTGAAGATGCAGTATTTTTCTGCTTTATTTTTTTAACATGTATCTTCTTATTAATGTTGCCTGGGTGTAGTAGTCATCCTGTTAAATACTGGCATCCATTTGACAGTTTGCATTGCTCTGATTTCTAAATCTCCTTTGCTACAACTGTTTTCTGTGGGTGCTTTGTAAATCTAACTATAGCAATTCAGAAGTGATCTCTCAATGACATGGAGTCCCGTTCTTACCCAGAACATGGAGAGAGGTCGCCCTGCAAGCGACGTGCAGCTGCAGAATTTGTGCATGCAGCACAGCATGCAGTTCTTTCCTCCAGGATATCAGTGTGATCCATGATAGCTGCTTAAGTTACAGTATCTAAAACTTGAGCCAGGTGTCTGTAACCATACAGAGACCTGGAAGCCTGCAGCCTTCATGCTAGAGATTGCTCTATCTGTTTGATTTCATTATGAACATGTCGGGAGCTGCATCTTGATTCTTAAGTTAATGTTGCAATTTATAATTGGCCATTATGACTTGTAAGACTAAGGTTTAGTGCTGCAGAGTGAAAATGAATAGGATTTTACAAGAATCTCTCTATATGTGTTCTGAATCTTCTATAACTGGGGCCTGAAGCAGTCTTAATCAGTGTAATTAAAAAAAACTAATGTCCCTAATCAAACTGTTTGCTTTCTCTTTTGTGTCTCTGAAAATCAAAGGGCTGGGAAGAAGGAATGATGGGGATGAAGAAAGGAGGACGAAGGTATCTCATTATTCCTCCAGCATGGGCCTATGGGGCTCAGGGAGTGGCTGGCCGTGTCCCTCCAGACTCTACTTTAGTTTTTGAGGTGGAAGTTAGGCGGGTGAGTGTCTCCTGCCAAGCGTTTATTTTACATCTGCTTTGTGGCTCTTGGGTGGCAGCGTCTGTCCGCAAGGTGAAAACCTGCTGTTGGCATGAGAACTGCAGCTCAGCAACTGTTACAAACCAAATACCTCAGGAAGATACCTATCTTTTTAATTAAAAAAAAAAACAACCCACAGAACCCTAAACCCAAAAAATCCCTCTAGGCTGTTTACTAAGACATGTCTGTTCTAACTGTCTTGGGATCTTTTAATTGTCTTCTTTGTGAGTCACTTGAGAAAACAAAATGCTCATAGTGAGGGATGACAGGATCTAAAGACTCAGCTTCTCTAGTTCTGAATCAGTTGTATGCTTTTACTTGAAGTGCATGAGCTTGACAAAGGAGTAGTCATCAAAAGTGAGTGAGTTGCTGAAAACTCTTTTGGGAACCCAGAAAAAACATCTTTTTTTGTTACATGCTTTTTAAGGTGAAGTTGGTAAAGGAATGCTCTGGTTCGGATGGGCAGAGTGTTAGTTCCAGGGATTCTCCTGCACCTTCTCCAGTACCCAATTCAGATGGCTTGTCTGCAGACACTGGTTTATTGCCTCCGTCTACGATACCTCCAAAGCCTGGGTAAGAAGCAGCACAGGTAACACAACTTGCTGTATTAAAAGATGGCAATGCTCATAAACACCTGGCACAGTGCTGCATTAACACATCATTTGGCAAATGTGGGTCCTCTGTGTGCCAACTTAGTGCCATCGGTGTGGCAGAGGAATGCTTGCTAACAAGACTTGCAGGAAACTTTCTGCTTGAATGCTGACTTTCAGATTTAAAGAAATTGAAATGGGCACAGATGGAAGAAGTCATTCCTCTATAGCATTACTGAGATCTGGTGTGATTAAGCTGTATGGGTACTGCTACAACAGCTTTCTCATCTCAGGTGGCAGTATAGTCATAAGTTGGTCTTAGGTAATGGCTCATTTGTTTAATTGCAAATTTTACATTGTCATTTGTTGCTTAAATTAACTAAATGAATCAGTCTTAGTTTTTAGGGAGTTCAATTTCATCTTTGTTAACTTCCAATATCAACATACACCTTTTGGCTTTTCAGGGAGCCAGCTGTTCGGGCCAAATCAAACTCCATCAGTGAACAGCTAGCAGTAAGTGTTTCTGTTTTTTCCTGACTAATTTGAAGCCTTAAGTAGGGAAACTTGGTTGGTTTCACCTCTGCATTCAGTGTTGCTGAAGATAAAGTGAACATCATGCAAGCAAGACGCTTTCAAATGTTCACCTTACTAACAGCAGATTAGGGCCTTGTTTTTGAAGGGATTAGCAGAACATGAGGGACCTCAGTCCCAGTTCCTATTCTGAAATGCAAAGTTACCTTGACTGTGTGGATACTCACAAGGCTAGCTGTCATCTCAGATAAATGAATAAATTTGAAATGGATAACAAAGAGTAATTGGGACATTCAGTGTAAGTTTATATAGCTACATGAAAAGACTCTGTGTGTGTCTCGGGATAGAAAAAGCTGCTAAGCAGCTTCCTTAATTCATGTTTTCTTCCTGTTGCTGTGTTTTGTGCAGGGATAGATATTCTATGTAACTACAGCAGTGTCATCCCAGAAGGAGAGTATATAAAGCAAGTCAGATTAACAAATCCACAGTGTTAACTTGTGTGCTTGAAAATTAGTTTTTCATACGGTCATTGAAAAATTGAAAGAACCAGAATTACTAAGTCAGTGATTTAGAAGAGTGTAATCCTGATAGATGTGTCTAATGTCTGAAAAGCCTGGGCTGAGAGACAAAGGAGGAGTAACTGCAAACATTTCTTCTAGAATCCAGATGTAGCAAAGGCAAAGCTAATTTCTCGGATGGCTAAAATGGGACAGCCCATGCTGCCTTTCCTTGCTGGGACAGCAGGTAGTCAACTTGACTCCAGTGACTCGGAAATAGAGGTACATCACCAGTCACATAAGTGTGACTTTTTTTGATGCTTTTTCTACATTGCAAATTCATTAGTAGAATCGGTAGCAATAGCTCTCCCTTTGTACAGGGAAAGCATACTCTTGTTTCTGTGGCAAAAGGGTTTAACGATTCCACTGTTCTTACCTAGTTCAGTTGGGTTAACTGGATAATACCTAGTCTCAAGTGATCTTGGGTTCAAACTGTTCACTCATTCTTTAGCATTTGTTGTAATATGCAGAAATTTTTTTAGGATCCAAATACACTGAGAGGGACAGCACAACCAGTGACTTCATCTTCCATGAGACCATCACAGTCAGCTCATGCAGTACTGCCCACAGTGTCAACACAAGGTAATGTGCTGGTAAGCCTGGGACTGGTATAAGAAATTTCATTTCCTTGCAGGCTTCATGCGCAAGGGCTGTACAAATGGAGGCTTCCTTTCAGGAACTGAAATAGGAACTGACAGATAGCTTCTAATAACACTTGCTGATCCAAAGGTAGACCAATTCATAAAGCACAAGACTGAAGTCCTTGGAGTATGTCTTCATTGTGATCTTGTGCACACATTACTGCTTGAGGAAGAACAGCTGCAGTGCATGAGCTGCTCTGTCATGTGTGCTGTGGTGGCACAGATTTCTAGGACATGTGATTTGTAAATGGAACTGTTACAAATCTTTTCCTAGTGAACAGAAATTTTTTTTGTTTGAAAATGATGGAAATAATAGCGAAGGGCATCAGAGGGCTGGCAGCTCTGGAGTGGGCTTGATGTGTCTTCCCATGATTGAACAGTAATGTCAGCTGCTGGTCAGCTGAGCAGTCTTTACAGTTGGTCTGAGTAACATCTTGTGTCAGTAAACTTCAGAGCCACCTTTGAATGAAAAGAGGTTGTCTAAATGTAGCTAGAAGTGACATTTCTGTGAAAATGACTCTTGACCTTTTATCACTTGTTTGACTGGATTTAATTTTCACAAGGCTGCAGACAGGCTTGTGTTAAATTTTTGTCTGTTTAGTGACTTTTTTGGCCATTTCACACTGGGTGAGTTTAAATTATTTCTAGCTGCTTTATGGCATGCTGAATTTCTTTCTTCCCTTTCAGTACCTCAAGCATCTGGTTCTATACCCCCGGTATCTTCTGCTGCTTTAATACCTGCAACGATCCAGCCCCATTCAGCTCTGCCTGGAGGAGCACAGGGTTTTCAGGTACCAAAATGGAATCAAGGAGAATATTGGCACTTCTGTTCTTTCTGATAAGTCTTACTGTCTTCTCCATTGCTGGAAGCAAGGACTCTATAGCAGCATGTAAGCATGAGAATCCCAGGCTGCTTCTTGTGACTGTGCTTTGGCATTCTCAGGTTTCCATCACATGCCTCTTAGAATTCAGTCAAAAAGGGCTAATTTTCTGCCTGCTGATGGCTTCTTAAAGTTGAACTAAGAATTAATCAGTGTTTGTTTAATATCTGCTTTTGTAGTGGATGAAATAAAAACTTCCGAGTAGTTGTAGAGCAGGTGAAAACAAAAGCATTTTAGTTGAAATTTTTCTTGGTCATGGTCTGTTTTTCTGTGAGGGCTCATTTGCACACTTAACATGTTTATGGGTCATCTTTTTTCATCCAGCAAAAGAATAATCCTTTTAAAAGGCTTGTGGTGCTGCTGCTGTAAAGTGATGCAATCCGCTTGCTAACAAGGAAACTTTGGGGGCTTAACACACAATATATTTGCCACATGAGGTGGTGAAGACTTAGTACAAAGCTATTGTACAAACAATTCTATGAAGTCTAAAACCAAGCTTATTGCTCTATGGTTTCTGTAGTTATTTTCACTTAACCTATTTTCTGGAGGGTTTAGGAATCAAACAGTGGCCTATACTGTGTAAAAGCACTGTTTATTTTTAAAGGGTCCAGGCAGAGGAAAAAAGGTATTTGATAATGAATACTAACACTATGTGTTTTTTTTTTTT